GGGCGCGCAGCTGGCCAAGTCCCCGAGGCCGAGCCTCCCTCGGCGCGAGCCCGGCGCGCCTGGCCGCGGATGCCCTGCCTGGAGTGCTCCGTGCGGCGCCGGGCTTGCCAGGGTCCGCGGCGAGACATGCCCGAGCCGGGCGCTGCACCGACCTCGACTTCTCTGTAGGCAGCAGAAGGTAAGCGGAGCCCAGCGCGCCCTCCTCCCGCAGCCCGGAGCCCGCTGCACTTGACCGCGGGCAGAGGCGAGCCCGGCGCGCCTGGCCGCGGATGCCCTGCCTGGAGTGCTCCGTGCGGCGCCGGGCTTGCCAGGGTCCGCGGCGAGACATGCCCGAGCCGGGCGCTGCACCGACCTCGACTTCTCTGTAGGCAGCAGAAGGTAAGCGGAGCCCAGCGCGCCCTCCTCCCGCAGCCCGGAGCCCGCTGCACTTGACCGCGGGCAGAGTACCGCGGGACGGGCGCCGACCCCGGCTCGGGCGCACGCACTCATCCCCAAACCGGCTTAGCCCGGGGCCGGGATGCGCGGGTGAAGCTAGGCGCAGAGCCAGCGGGCGGGTGGAGGCGGGGGCAGGGGGCGAGGTTATGCAACTGCGTCTGGCATGACCCGGTCACCGAGGGGCGTCTGGCAACTTTGGCGACAGCCACGGAGGAGCGCGGGTGTGATGTCGGTTCTAGACAACGCCACAGCCTGTGAGTGCCTGGCATCCCTGGCCGGGGAGCACTGGGGGTCCAGGGGAAACCATCTCCCCCGACCCTTCCGAGGCTTTTAAGTATTACCAAAACTATGGTAAGTACTGCACAGCTCATTAACTTCGGGGGCGATACCTCGGAGCGGAGGGGCCCTGCTGCCTGCCACCGAGCAGGAGTGAAGGCAGAGATGCCCACGTGAAATGCTCGCCTCCTCGGCTTGCTTGCCTGTGTTGGCACCTTCCTGGGGCTTCAGGCCGGGGGTCGGCACCCGCTGAGCTTCCAGGCGCCTGGCATCCCCTGTTTGACCTGCACAAGCGTGGGAAACCGACCAATGCTGCAGATCTGGGGAACCAGCGGGCCAGTCCCAAGCAGGGGCAGCGATGAGAGCCCCAAGTCCAGAGAGAGAGTCTGCATCTTGCTGGTTCATGCTCAGTCTTCCAGGCGGGCATCTCCTCTGCCTGGATAAAGAGCAGCTCTCTGTGACCTCAACATTCTACCCCCCAAAATATGCCACTAGGAGATGGAGCCAGTGATAAGGGGAAGCCCGGAGTGGGGGAGGTGAGGCACCCCTGGAGTAAATAAAGGAGAGGATGGGTGCCTGTGCTCGCTGCAGACCAGCGCTCAAGTCCCTTTTCCTCTCTTGGTGCAGGTCTGGCCCGGGGGCCTGGATGCCCTGTTGGGCTCTAGGAGATCTTTTCAGAATACCCAGGCAAAGGCTAACTCAGGGTAGAGGTCAGTGGCTTGAAGGTGTTCTTTTGATGGAAGACTGGGGTGGGGGTGGGGGGTGCTAACTTTCCACATCTCAACTAAATGGTCAAGGTGACAGGGCTGGGGACTTGATTAAAACATGCCACTCAAATAATAAAAGCTAGGTCAACCCAGTGAGTAGTGCATAAATAAGAAAGCCTTAGTACTCAGATGCTGGGGTTGAACACATAGGAACCACTTCACTTCACAGAGGCTGGAATGTGCTGGGTTTACTACTACTTATGTTCATATCCTGTTGAATGTTACTTTTCAAAGTACATATTTATCTTTGCAATTTTTTTTTTACAAGAATGACTAGCAAACGTGCAGAATCAACTCAAAGGAAAAAAAAATGGAGTCCTGCCATCTGCATGCCTCACCAGATACTGATAATTTACTATCTGTGTTTACTACTTACATTAGATGGCACTACACTTCAGGATGGGCTTCATCAGACACATATTTCAAGGGGAAAGACTAGCCCAGGCATCGCTAACCGCATGATTTGGCATAAATTATGTGAGCTACAGAGAGTTTTGTTTTCTTCACTAAATTCATCATTTCCTTAAAAGGGTAGAGTGATCCAATTTAATTCCTTTATCTAATGCAAAGACCTTTCTCGAAAGACAGGATGTCCTTGAAAAGCGAAGGATGTCTTTAAACTTACAACAGTTGCCATGACTTTCTGTTTTATTATTGTGATTGAGACACTGGGGTTTTTACATAAATCAGGCCCATTATCCCATTGAAAAACTTAAGTAGTGGTTAAGAAGCAGACTAATAGACAAGCACTACAAGGCTCCACATTTGCTCAAAGAGCCTTCAGAAAACTCTGGAAAGCTGGCTACCCTTGGAGCCATCCTGGGCTCATCTTGGGGCTTCGGGGCTTCTCTGCCTCATTACCGTCAGCATGCCCCATTGAAGTAAAGGCAATTTCTGCCTTTCGTTTTTCCTTCTGTAGATAAAATTTTGAAAATGCATAATAAATAAGTAAATGAAAGACCTGTGCACCATAGGCGTCTGTCTCCAAGGAAGATGGCTACGCAGTGCAGAAGGCAGCAAACAAAGAGTCTGAGGAACACCAGACTACCCCAGCGAGAGGTAGGGCACCTGTTCACATGACTACACATCTGCATTCTCCTGTTTGCTCCAGTGCATGGCCATCTCATTTAGAGAGTCAACAGCCAAACTCCCTCGTAGGAAAAGCAGATTACTTATGTTGGGACCAGGCTGCTTCTCAGAGAATAATGTTCAGAAATGACCAGAGTCACATCCCACCACAGCAGCTCTGAGGCCAGGTCGGCTAACAGAAGGGCAGAGACAGGATCACTAGGGATTTTTATTCTAAGGCTTTAGAGCAACCACCAGACACTTACGCATGTCTGAGATGCTGTTAATGGACATTTGGGGTACCACAGCAATTATACAGAATGGAGAGGGCTCCCATCCCCCTGGGAATGAGGTCATAAAGACTCCCAGATACAGCTCACATCACTGTTTTCAACAACTCCTCCATAAATGTGACAGCTGTGTTCTGCACCCCTCCCCATAACTCCAGAGACCTACATTCCCTAACCTGAAATTAACTGACATCATTTATGATACAGAGCCTTCATATTTGATTTTAATATTTCATAGCATTATGGAGTGGCTTCAATATTTTAAAGCAAAATTTAATATGATTGATACTACACGACAACACAGGCGTCTTCGTGAAGTTCCCACACAGGAGATCAGAGAACCCTGATCCAAATGGAGCTCAACATTCTTTATGCAAATATAGTAAAACACCCTGACCTTTAATCAGTTTACTTTACAAAAGTATTTATCTTATACACTAAGGACAGAATACAGATTGGTAAGAGTTGCAGTGGCCCTGGCAAATTCATACAAACAAGTTGTTAGAATGAAGCCATGTGTTAAGCAGTAAATCGTACACAGTTCAGGCTTGACCCTTTCAACCATGTCTCAGGATGTAACTATTTCAGTTCCTGAAGGTACCGAGGTGTCTCTAGGTAACCAAGATCCTGGTCTCAGGTTAAGGGCCAGGACATCTCCCGGAGTCAGTGTAGCCTCTTCCACATCACCTGAGTCCTAAGTCCTTGGGATATTCACTGTGAACTGGAGATAAAGTACTTTTAATTGCAACAGAGGAAAAAAAAAAAGAACTTGAATACGGAAAAGCAAACACTAAGGACAAGAAGAAATTGTCTCTAAGTTACTCTGTAAACTTTTTGGATAATATACCACTTCACAGGAATTTGGGGAGAATTCTCTCTAAAGTCATTATTTGTGAGTATTGCTTTTATATAGAATGACTGCACATCCATAGACATGTCTGCTGGCCCATCATTCTGATACTGGGAAGTCTGAGCAAGAGAAAAGGCCAGAGATACTCATCTTACAGTGTTTACTCACAGAAGTCATACTATTTTAGCTAATGAAGTGGAGAAACTCACAAAAACAGGAATCCTAACAGCATGTCGAAATGCTGCTTGAAGCTTACACTACAGTTACTATGGAAAATTCCAATTCAATCCTTAATAATCTAGCCTGGGGCATAAAATGAAAGGCAGTAACTACAGCGTGTGAGGGGCATGAGAGAAAGCCAGGAAATGTCAAAAATGCGATGGGCAGCTTTGCAAAGGAAAGCTGGTTTCTCTCCACTTCAGTGACCCGGAGGAGCAGTAGGACAGGCTGATGCTGTGGGGCCTTCCGGTATCTGTTGTGTTGAGGAACCTTCTTGAGATGAGCATATCGTGACTCTATTAAACTGTGTTTCTAGTCCATCCCATCAGTGACATTGTGGTTATACACACTGTTCTCAGGAAGTACACTGAACTGGTCAGACATCCCTTTTGTAATCTTTTCTACAGGTTCTAAGTGGTTAAATTCTAGACAGCTCGTTCATAGCATCTACAGTTTGCTGCATGCAATTTGTTTATTTTTCTAATGATTTTAGCAATCTTGGAAATGTAGTAGAACTATAGTGTGTCCAGACTCTTAAGGGGGTGGACACAGGCATGGTGGACAGATAAACAGATGGCAGCCAGGGCCAAAGGTGTGTAAGAGGTTTCAAGACTGATGGAAGGTCTTCAGGGAGCATCAGTGCAGCAGGAAGCAAGGACATGGCAGGGAGGCTCCACATACCTCCAGACTCATAAGTGGGAGTCAGGAGGTTTCAAGGTGACTGATGTTTGACTTCAAGTGTAAAGGGTATGAGATGGGGCTCCTAGGCCCAGCACCTAAACAGCTGGGGCCTCAGTCAAGAGTTGTAGCACCCACAGCAAGAGGCTTGCATGGCAGGGAGGAGGAGAAACTTTGGGCAAAGGTTTGGGTTCTGGAGTGATCCTAATGGAAACCAAAGTCCTGGAGCCAGTGGGGGGAAATGGGGTGATTACCTGGCATCTGAGTCTGAGTGTTCAGCTAGAAAACTGGAACTATTACTTTAAAGGAGGAATCTGTCATCACCTCTTCTATTCTACAGAAGAGGAGTGCTTTCAAAATGAGACGGGGAAGAAGGACCTGGAGGGTCACAACACAAGGGTATTCTTAAAGGGACACTAGTAACAGGTGCTAAATGAATATATAATGAGACCATTAAACCTAGTCAGTAACTTTCTAGAAATTCAGGGAATTCTGGCTGGGAAACAATTTCTCTCTCTCTCTCTCTCTCTCTCTCTCTCTCTCTCTCTCTCTCTCATCTCTCTCTGGAATTAAGAAATCATTAAAGGTTGGTAAAAGCAAAGACTACTTTTAGTTGAACCATCAGTCCTTATGTCCAACTATGAGGTGTTTAGAAAACAAAGTTCCAAAGGGCTCGGATTCCTACCATCACACTCACCCTCACGTATCTCTTTGGTTAAAAGCTCACCTGGGGCCGGGCGTGGTGGCGCATGCCTTTGATCCCAGCACTCGGGAGGCAGAGGCAGGCAGATCTCT